CAAAACACCTTAATTTATTTGCCTGGATGTGATTTATGCATAAGTTAAATAAATTAAAAAAAAACTTTTTATGATTCATTAATTGTCTAAAAACTTGGTAATGTGGAGCATGACTATTTATTAAAATGTTTATATGTATTTATAAATATTTATATATAGAAATTGAATGTTCTACTTTTATCAAACTTACACTAAGTTTTATTTTGTTATAATTGTAGATTTTTAATCCTGAAGAGGCTGTCAGCAAAACAGCGAAATATTGATTGATGTAAATAAATTATTAATAAATAGTCATGCTCCACATTACCAAGTTTGAGTCTTATTTGATGACAAAGGAGCAAGTGAAAGGAGTCCATAGATATTTCTAAAAATATGTTATAAATTAGCGGTCATAAGGGCATTGGTGGTGACGTTTTTATTTTTTGTAATACAAGTGTAAAGAGTCGATACCCGACAAATAGTATGATTTTAACGTATGTAATGTATTGAACATCGAGTTGCTTGTATTTGGTTTTGTGTCACTCGTCCCCTTGAATTAATGTTGTAGTTGCTGAGCTGTTTGAGCTATTTTAAAGCTGCTCTTGAGATTTTTCATTTCAATCGATGATATTGATGCATCTAGAGCTTGTCAGAATGCAAATAGCACACTGGGAATGGTCTCAACTTGTTTTGTTTTTCAGGACAATTATGAAAACTAGACACATTCCAAAGGTTTAAAACAATTTTTTACAAGAATTACATCAAGTTTTCAAAATTTTTGATCTTGCTAATATTCGTGTTTTTTTTTAATCACTTAGAATCAGTTAAATGCACAGGATGCAGTTAACTAATAATGGGATGAATATGAACCTAAATGACTTGGAGTATGGGAACCAGAAGAATAAAATTGTTATTCTGCTGGAAATATCGGAATTATAAGAGTTGGTAAATTTTAAAAATATCAAATATACTTGGAAAACAATTAATTGCATGTTTTATTATACCTCATTATAATAATACCATATATTATAATATAAACATGATTTTGTTTACATCTTTTATTCGAATTTTGAATTGATCAGTAAAAAAATATTGATAAATTAAATTTATACTCAAGTTTACAAAATCTAAGTCAGGTCTCTGGCTCCCCCGCAACCCTCCATACATTTTTTAATGCCCCCTCCCCCACATAATCTATATACTTCTTTACAGTACAAAATATTTCTATAAGTTTCTCTGTGTCCAATATATACTATATATGTGCTTATATATTACGAATTTTTCATCTACTGATACTTATAAATGAGAGCAATAATATTGCTGTCGTTCGCAGTAATTGGATCTGGGCTTTAACATGAAAACCTTATGGAAGATATCCGCGCAGTAATTGGGGACATAGTAACTAGTGCTGATTTTATAACCATGTGCAATAATACAAACAAGTAACATCAACGTTAAAAAAATTATTTAACAAAACAAGAAGTAACATAGCAAAAAACGTTTGTCGTTTTAACCGTATAAGATGCTCAAGATGAAGATAAAATGAAACTACTTTAATGTACATCGAGAAACATAGAGAAATAAACAATCTACTATTGTCGAAAATTTCAGTGCTCAGTAATAAGGTAATTTACCCCTACAGGTACTACTTATTTCTCAAGCAAACCCCAACCGTTTTCTGGTTTCAGGTTGGAAGTTGGAAGGATATCCGCTATGTGTTACCGCCTTTGCTGCCACTCTCGTGGCCACCTGCGGAAATGACTTAATGTATGTAAACAAAGCTAAACCGTATTGCAAGAGGTTGGAGCAAAATCATTTTAATCAAATTAATTATTATTTATTAATATTAGAGCAATGAAATTAGTTTTTCTAAAATTTTGGTTAATTGTTTCTTAGAATCAAGATGAAAATATAATTTTCTCTTTTTTAAAGGTTGTATGCTTTCAGTGCTAAGCCGAATAAGATGTAGATTACCTTTTAATGATATAAGAAATGTCGAGAGATGACTCCTTGCATTGCGAAAATTGTTTTTTAAGTTCCCTTGTCGTTTAAGGTGGTTCTTTCATGAAATGATTGTGAACTGAATAACATGAAATATAGAGGAATCATTTATTAAGTTACAATACATGACCCCTCAAAATTTCACAGTAGGCTGACGAATATAAACGCAAGAAAATGATAAATGAAAATTAAATTCTGAATATGTGCTCTTATGGCAACTAAGCATTTTTTTACTGAAAGTTGTAGCCTAGTTATTCATTTACCGAACGTAATTAAGTAAAAAACTTACACAAGAATGCTTACGATATACTAAATATACTGCCATCTTGAAATTTATGTGTTCACGGACTTGATCAAAAGATATTAAAACAAACACAGGCATACATTTTCGTTTCCTACGTTGAAAGCATAAGTAAGCATCCACTGCTGGTATTTTGAGGTTAAGCGCGAATTTTAGATAATCATTCCTACGAACTTTTATACCGTATATTATGATCAAAAATTTTGAATCAGTACTTAATTTGATTCAATAAACAGTATTTACTAATAGTCGTTTGAAATTTCAACTGTATTAGTATACATCAACTTGATAGTCGCACCTTTGACTCGGAAGTCATGAAAGAACCACCTCAATGATATAAAATGTTGAAGAATCTGAATGAATTTATGAAAAGAAAACGTTACTAAAATTAAAATGTACAAAAAAACGTACGGGTGTGTATTTGGGTTTATAAGTGCATCCATACATAACTAATTATATCTCAGAACTTCCTTGACCAATTTCAACAGACCTTGACCTATTTGCATTGTTTTTGGATACTTACCAATGATTGTACATAAAATTTCAATTTAGTTACTTTTTTAATTATTATAATTTAGATTCTATCAGNAACAACTGGAACAAAACTTACATGTAACTATTTTACATATTACATAAGAAGTTTTATTACATAATCGATTCATCAGGTAAAGTGTGATGTGTTGTGTATATTAATATTTAATAACTAAAATATGTAAACTCATATTATATCCATACGCCAGCCACGTACATTTTTGTTTAAAATTTCTGATTCACATGATAAAGTCAAATTAATAAAAAAAAAAAATAAATAAAAAAAACGAATTTAGTTGAGCATAACTGATTAGATACATCGGTATGCGTGATTGTAAATAGGCCTATGTATATAATCAGTCGTATTTCAGAACTGCACTGATAAATTTCGATGAAATTAAAATCATTTTTTATTCTCTACTTTATTATTAACTATAAAAGAAACTAGTATATACACTATAGTTATTTACGTAACAAGTGCAGAAAAGACGTCACCGGCCACGAGTGCGAGTCTATCACACGAGTGCAGGAAATCGTCCCGCACGAGTTGCGTACAAGTTTTTCCGCACACTATTGCGAAAAAATTATTAACATTTTTCGATTAATTAAATCAAAATTTTAATAGACAAAAACAATTCAATTAAGCCTTATATAAAGAAAAGTTGACAGAGAACCAAAAATGTAGTAAAAATTTGCCACTAAATAAATATTGTAAAATTTACTTATAAAATACTGTAGTTTAAAGGAATATTATGATTTTTAAATCATAAATGTTTTTGGTTTTAAAAATAGTGTAAAGGTGAATTATCGCTTACACTCGGATTATCAAGCAATTGACGAAAACTGTTTCTATGGGGTATAGAAATAGTTATTCAAAAAGCTCTACTATTGAATTCTCTTTTTATTCAGTTTTAAAACTACATTATTTTTTTGTATCAGTTATAATAGAAAGAAAGAATGATAATTTTATATTTATTAAGATCCAACATCGATTTGTACAAAAAAAACAAATATAATATATTATTTCAACAGTTTTTAATAAAATCCTGATTATAAAAATACATTGTAGCGATTTCTACTTTCCTTAAAAAAAAATATCAATAATAATAATAATAACATTAATAATAATAATAA